TGCATGCCCTTAGCTTAGTTATAATGTAGTTAGCTTAGTTGTTAGATAGGAGGACAATCCATGCTTGTTGTTTGATATTCCATGCTTATAAATGCAAGTAGTATTATTCTCTAACCATGTGATGTGTTTGGATTGTGAGCTTAAAGGAAAGATTATTGGCTTAGTTTGATGTATTGTGCTATTCACTAGGTTGCTTAGACAATATATGCTTAATTGATCATCCATGCTTGTTGAAACAATCAATCACACACTCTCAAATTGAAACACATGTTTCCCTCATTAATTATACATTGAATGTCTAGAATGGTGATGTTTAGTGGTGACCTCTAGACCCCAATACCTCACTCTCTTATTTTCTCTAAATTTCATTTAAATTTCTTATTTGACATTGAACTTGTTTAGTTTAGTTTGTAGTTTAATCAACCCAACAAACCCATCTTTTGATCACTCGACCTACTAACCCTATTTATTGTTTCTATTACAATCACGCCTACAATCCCTTGGGACGATCCCTACTCACCATAGCTATATTATTTTTTGTTAGAGGTAGTAGTGGCTTTTATAAATTTAAAACTTGGCCACATTGCACGCTCACACTCTTAGCACATTTTTAAGCGTTGGTCCGACGGCACACCATTTAGGATAGTAAAACTTGTACCCTTTAGATTATTTAACATCCACAATATTATGGGTAACGAGGAATTACTTAATATACTCATAACCATATTCATAAAAGTACGATTACGCCTTTCAGTTACACATTTCTGCTGTGGCATACCTGACATAGGGTATTGAGCACAAATGCCATGCATTTCAAGAAATTTAGCAAACGGTTAGAGTATTAACCCGTTTCATCATACTTTCCATAATATTCACCACCTCTATACGACCTTGTGATTCTCACTTTTCTATCTAGCTGTTTTTCAACCTCATTTATGTATACTTTAAGAGTACCCACTGCTTGAGATTTTTCATGCAACAAATAAATATATCCATAACGTGAAAAATCAATTATAAAGGCGATAAAATACTTTTCTCCTCAAAAAAATAGAACATCAGAAGGTTTACAAATGTCTATATGAATAATTTCAAGAAGTTATGTACTTATTGTGGCTCATTTCTTTGTGTGTTTGGTTTGTTTACCCTTAATACAATCTACACAGACACCAAAATCAGTAAAGTTTAGATTCAGAAAAATCGCATCCTTTACAAATTTTCCTAACCTTTCACTAGATATTGACCTAATATTTTATGCCACAAGAAAGATAAATTTTTTATTAATTAAGCTATGCTTAATTCTAAAATTATGATGCAAGATCAAAAGATTTTTTAATAAATAAACTATCAAGTTTGAATTTGCAGAAATCATCAACAATAATACCATAACTCACAAATTAGAATTTCTTGAATAAACATCATTATCAAATTTAAATGAAAAACCATTAATATAAAGTTTTGAAATAAAATCAAATTATGGGAAATTGAAGAATTAATATAAAAAGTTTAAAACAATTTAAATAAAATCCATTATCTAAGACCAAACAAAATGTCTCAATGGTTTCAACAAAACTTTTTCCCAATTCCCATAAATAAGAAATTCTCATTTGAATTTATGATTTAGTCCATAAGTAATCCTTGCATCTATTAGAAACATAAACATTAGAACTTAAGTCAACCTATCATGTATTAGAAGGAATATCAATAAATAATTCGAAATATACAAAAGTCAAAAGCTTACCATTCTTTTTCGAATCATTCTTTATATTTCATGTAATCTTTCTAAAAGTGTTCAATACTTTAATGACACTTTTTCATTATTACATTCATTTATTTTAATAGTTGACCTAAATCTTTTAATTTTAGGTGTTGCTCGCTTAATGCGTTTTCATGCTTATTCCCAAATTTCTTTCTAACTTTTTGAGTCATTAGATGAACATAATTATTACCTTGCTGCTTAAGCCTTGTCTCCTCCTAAATTAACATAATGGTCAACTCTTTCACTTTTCACTTGCCTTATTAGTGTTAATTCGAAATAACCCATACTGAGTAAACAAAAAATTGAGAATAAATTTGAACAAGAAAATTCTCATCCACAATTATTATAAGGTTCTCAATTTTGTAACAACATTAGTCATCTGAAAATATGTTTATACATAGTACGAGTACCAAAAAAAAAAAAAAAAAAATGCATAGTAGTGATATCAATTAATAATTTTCGTTTTAGATATTTATCTACAATACGCAAACATTATTATAGTCAAATATTCCTTAGCACTATCACTATGGGGAATAATAATTCGCATAATCATAATACTTAACTTACTAATTCCATTATGAGAAGTTAGTCCTATTGAGAATCAGCACAGATGTCGAATGCGAATTAAGGGATATAACAAAGAAACATAATAAGATAAAATACTCACAACAATAATGTTTTAAGTTAACAACACGTATGTATAACTTAAAAATATAAATACAATGTATAATTATAGTACCCCTTTGGGTGGCAACTATAAAATACTAATAATGATGCTTAAATGTATTTATATGTATATTTTCGTTGGTGATGCATTATTTAATTAAACAAATAAGTTACATTTGGATATCCTATATCTACCTAATTAAGAAAATACATACAACCCCTTAATTTTTATTTAATCACTTGAAAATCAATTCCCTTTGGAGAATTATTTCTCATAATTAAATAAAGTCAATATTCATGAATACCATAAAAAATCATAAGCATTATAATTCATAAAATATTGCAATTATGTCTATTACTAAAATTAATATCCAACAATCATTATGGTTAAGCCACTTTAGTAGCTACTAACCTTTACATAATATGAATATTAAATTAGTTAGTTACTAATTCATCTTTAATTATATTTACTACTAAAATTAATATTCATCAATCATTATGGTTAGGTCACTTTGGTAGCTACTAACCCTCATAGACATGAATATTAATTAGCTAGTTAGTAATTTATCATTAATTTACCCATTTAACATTATGCACACATACTCATACTGATCGATCCAAATTTTAGTAGGTTCGATCTACGAAATTTAATAGTCCAAAAATTTAATAAAATATCATTTTACCATACAAAATAAAACATATTTTTTTTATTTTCGGACTTGAAGATCATAATTGAATCAATTTAAATTTGATTCTCCATCATGTATGTATGTTTGGATACAAAATATAATAATTTATTTACATGTCCTACAAAATTAAATTTCTAGACACACATCATTCAAGAAATTTAAATTTGTAACAAAATAAATCAATACACATTGATTTTCAGATAATAAAAATAATAATAATTAAATACAGAATCTTTGAATTATAAACCATTAGATAAACATGTTGCGGAAAATCAATGATAAAGGTGAGTATTCATGAACATGTAATTCGTGCATCATTGATTTCAATTATATATATCATTATTATTATTATTATTATTTTCTTTATCAATACATGAAGTATAACACAGTGTGTAATCTATTAATAAACTACAACACATACTGACCAAAGCATGAATTCTACGGCAGTAGCCGCAGCACCCATTAATTGTTCCATTGACCAATCAAAACACATGCTTTCTATATATGTCGATTCCAAAAGAAAAAAAATAAATTATTTAATATTATTTTTAAATATTATATAAGCAATAACTACATACATGATTATATGTCTATCTCAGACCAAATCACTTTCACTTTGAGATATAAATTTAAATATTATTTATGTAACATTAAAGAAAAATAATGAGTTCATAAACCATAAACTCTGATACCACATGAAAACTATAATTATTCGTGTTGAACCATTTATCACAAATAAATATGAATCACATAATCTTAGAATTTCATTATTTTCACATAGTCTATAATACATAAATAAATACTAGTTAGATATAAATACCTCGATTCGTGATATCAAACTTTGTTAAGATTAAGTCTAATGTCCAGATTCTTTAACCACGAACTAAACTGCAACTCTGATCAATAGGCAAAGCGTGGAAACTGGTTTCTCTCTCTTGACCTTTTGCACACATAAAACTTTTACATGTTGTATTATTAGCGTACATAATTGATGGGAATATGCACTTTTATAAAGGCAGTGAGAGGACCAGTTTTCCTTTTTAGTAACCTTAATTCCACTTTTCATAGTAAGGAATAAATAGAAAAACAATTCTCCAATAATTAATTACCATAAAAGTAATTTATAAGTTGACCAAATAATATAATATTAATTTGATACCTATTTACTTAACCACTAATTAATGAAATATGTCACATGTCCACATAATTAATAAATAATCTTCCATTGTATCTAAACTCATTCCAATTGTGAAAGGTCTGCTTCATTCAATTCTGGTTCAGTATATGTGGATTACTATCATCTGGTAGTAAGTTAATGTTCTATCAGCAAATTCTAAAATGAAAGCTGTAGTTCCTAAGCAAGTTAATATATATATATTTTATTTTGTTTATATATTATGTGGTATCTCTTTTGATGTTTCTTCTTCCTTAATTGGGACTCCATGTACATTCTTTCTTCTCATATATACAAGCTTAACCTTTAACTTAATATATATATATATATATATATGTATGTTATTGCTTATTCTTTACATATTTTAAATTTCGTGATTTCAAAAGAAAATAATAATGGATAGAAGAAATGTGATCCATGTAGTACGTACACACACCTTTTTGTCCACGTTCAAGCTCCAACAATAGTGTTGATTGGCGCTCGATTTTATTGGCCTAAGATGGAAGACAGAAATAGTGAAAACATAACCACCAAAAATCGCCCCAGAAGCTAGGAATGGTAATAATAGCAAGTCCACCAAAATAAACGGCCCCAAGCATTTAATGTACTGTTGCCAAACAAAAATGCTACAATCCATCGTTGCATGCATGAGAGCTTCACAATAATAAACCAGGGCCTTCCTTGCTGAACAAGAAATCAAGTTAATTCCTAACAGAGAAGAGATCGAAAGAAATGGCTTCAAAGCACAACAAAGCCACATCTCTATGCTCTGTTTCTTATCTGTTTCACTCACTCTCTCTCCTCTGCATTCTCGCCCTCTCTCTCTTCTTTTTCTCCAATTATACAATCCACCAATCCAAACCCTTATCATCCCCATCTTTGGTTTCTCAGAGCACTCCCCAATTTCCCAACAATTCCATCAGAGTCTACGTCGCCGACCTACCCAGGTCACTCAACTACGGCCTCTTAGACAAGTACTGGTCTTTTGGTAGCGATTGGAGGCTCGGAAGCGAAGCCGACAACCAAATTCGATCGACCATTTTCTCGAAAAAGCTACAATTCCCTCCTTATCCTGAGAACCCACTGATCAAGCTGCTCAGTGCGGAGTACTGGATCACAGGTGATCTGATGACCCCGGAAGCATTGAGAACTGAGTCGTTTGCGAGGCGGGTTTTTGATGTCGGCATAGCCGACGTTGTCTTCGTGCCGTTCTTCGCGACTCTGAGTGCCGAAATGCAGTTGGGTTTATCCAAGGGGGTGTTCAGGAAGAAGGTGGCCGGGAATGAGGACTATGAGAGGCAGAGGGAGGTGGTGGAAATTGTGAAGGGCACCAAGGCGTGGAAGCGTTCCGGTGGCCGAGATCACGTGTTTGTTCTTACAGGTATATGATAAACCTCTTAAATTATTTCCCGGCAAATGACCACTAGTTCGGATGAAGACATGTCATGAAATCATTCTATTTAATGACATGACGATGATGCCATTAGTATAGTAGGATTTGACAGACTTTCAAACTCTTTTATCACAATTTTTATTTAGATGTAATGATTTATGAGAGTGATAGATGATATTATCAAGTAATTATATATATATATATATATATAAAAGGAGATAGTGTTTCACGTCTCTTGAATATTGTTTCTTGAAATCCTTGAGCTTTAATACTTGATGTTGCCTAAATATCAAAAGTAAAAATATTTCTGATAAAGTCATTAAAATAACTGTATATGTATATAAAAAAATACAAAATAAAGTGGGTGCTTGGTGTGGCAGCTTATGATTTAGTGTGTGGATTGTCAGGTAATGTTAAAACTTGAGGCATTGTTTGGCAGACCCTGTTGCAATGTGGCATGTTAGATCTGAGATCGCTCCGGCAGTTCTTCTAGTGGTGGATTTCGGTGGGTGGTACAAGCTTGACTCAAAATTATCCAACAATGTCAACAATGGTAGCTCATCATCATCATCAGATATGGTGATCATACAACATACCCAAGCTTCGCTACTCAAAGATGTAATTGTGCCATACACACATCTATTGCCAAGGTTGCAAATTTCAGATAACCAGAGACGCCACACCCTTCTTTACTTTAAAGGAGCTAAACATAGGCACCGGGTCAGTATTTTTATTTCTTCCCCTATTATTCACTTATTAACAACGAGTTACAAAGAGGAAATACCCAGTCGCCTAATTAGTAAAACGGTCAATTCTCTGAGCAAGTGTGTTCGTATTTAAGTACCCCTTATGTTATCCTCTCATTGATGATTCTGTTCTTCGAACTACAGGGAGGGCTTGTTCGAGAAAAGTTATGGAGCATGTTGGTTAGTGAACCTGGAGTTATAATGGAAGAAGGTTTCCCTAATGCCACCGGAAAGGAGCAATCAATAAAAGGGATGAGATCGTCGGAGTTCTGCTTACACCCAGCTGGGGATACCCCGACATCATGCAGACTTTTTGATGCCATCCAAAGTCTTTGTATACCTGTCATTGTCAGCGACAACCTTGAGCTCCCATTTGAAGGGATGGTGGATTATTCGGAATTTTCTGTTTTTGTTGCAGTTAGTGATGCATTGCAACCAAATTGGCTCGTAGATCATCTTAAAGGATATTCTGACAAGCAGAAGGATAGATTTCGTCGAAATATGGCTCGGGTTCAGCACATTTTCCAATTTGATAACGGCCATCCTGGTGGCATTGGCCCTGTTCCTCTAGATGGTGCTGTGAATCACATTTGGAAAAAGGTTTACGAAAAATTGCCCATGATCAAAGAAGCTATCATACGGGAGAAGAGAAAACCACCAGGTGTGTCTATTCCACTTCGTTGCCATTGTACTTGATTCCACTCGAGAAAGTATTTAATACCCCAGCCCCAGGAAATTACATGTGGTATTCCCGCCCAATGATGAGTCATAGAAACTCTCCATTTACCTTAATAATAAAGAAATGTAAAATTTTCGAGGGAAATGAAGAGTTTTTACTGGGCAGGGATACTGCGTGATAAGTACCATGCCATATTGTATTCTATGTACTTTCTTCTCTAACGTTTGTAACAGACTAACAGTATTATTGTTATTTATTTATTTTTGGTTGAGGTAATTTCTTCTACTTCAATTGCTTCTCATAGTAGAAAATTCATGTGTATTACAACCATATGACTTGCTCTCAAAGATTGTGTTTATGTTTGATTCATAATATATATTCACAGCGCGCATCTGTAAGTGTTTTTTTATTGACTTTTTCACCATTCCTAAACTTTTGCTGTGATTTGTAGTTATGTGCACTTTTCGAATGCGCTTTTTGCATATGGCCTGCTTGATTTTGTAAGTAAAATTGTTTATTTTCATATAAATACAAAAGAACAGGTTTTTATTTTTTGAATTTTTGAGAATTATTTTTTATTGACAAATTAAGTAGCCTCTAATATTCTCTAGGAAAGCCATAACCTAAAAGTCACACAGTGCAAAAGTGTGAAAGAGACAAAATATAAGCAACAATTAGTTAGAATTGAAGCAAGAACATACGCAAAATACCAGAGTACGCTCGGAGCGTGAGAGCATCATCCTTTTAAAAAAATTGTGTGACATAAGTCGGAACACTAACTTCGGAATTTTTGGGGGTGGGTTGTTAAGCCCTGTATAAATTGAAAGTAACTCGGGTTAGGCCTGAACTTTTTCTTGGCCCAAATCTGACTTATAAAACATGTTTATTCAGTTCGGGCTGGCTATTCACCACGTAGCAAAAAACGTCTATTGGTTTAACATATACACAATTATGATCGTCCTCAGCTAAGCTTGTTTTGAGTACATCAACATTCAAAATGGTGCAAAATGACATTAACGGAGGGGAAAGTAAAAGTTGTTAATTTTAACCGTGCTATAATTGCCTCTTGTAGACATGGGTGTAGGACCAACCACAATAGCTAACACTCAATATATGTCGGTTGTCGACTCTCGGCAGGTTTAGTGTTTTGGATAAAGACATTAGTTCGCTCTGATGAACTTGATTTGAAGTTTCGACTTGGACTGGGCTCAGCTTGGATGAATCTATTTTGGGTTTACCATTTTAATTCAACTGGGCCAGAAATTACTAACTAGGTTGGGCTTGACGGAACTGCTGTGACAAATGACATATTGACAATACATTGATTGCAAAACATATTGACCAAATCTGATGTCTATTGAATTCTTTATAGAATAAACTCAAGTAATTAGGATAAACCTTAATATAGTGTATCTACATTTATAAATTGTTAAAATACAAAAATTCATCTTTACTAAATTAAGTATTCTTAAAAAATTATATATAATACCATTTTATATTTTTTTAAAAAAAAAAAATCCATCATCCAAAAGTCAAGATCTTTTAAAGAAAGAATTCTATGATTATATTTATTTTTTCACTTTTTTTAGATTAAAATAAAAAAAATAAAAAAAAAAATTGACAAAAAAACTCACATATTTTATCAACTATGAACCCTCAGTATTTTACTTTGAATGATAAAGTAACACTAAAGTAAAACTCTTGGTAATAAATTATATGAAATTCAAGTTATGGCTGCTCTCAATTTTCAAAATATGTGTGCATATATATACACAAGTAAGTGTGTATATAATATAATATTTGTTCACAAGGTCCCCATTGCACTAAAAAAGACCATTAGTGCAATGTCAATTTCTCTAATGTGAAATGTTGGGACTTGGGAGGGCAATTGGATAAAAGCTGACCTCAACATTAATTATTTAACTAAGTGGGTGCCCATTTTAATCATCTCTCATCAATATCAATAATATCAAATAGAAGTATCTTTCTCCTTCAACAATTGTTTTTTTTTCTTTCATTCTCTCTATCAAGTCATACATACAAGTATGAAATAAAATCATTCTCTATGTTTCTGTTTCAATCTCATTATGTCATTGACTTGAATATTTTAGAGAGAAAAAAAACACACACACACAAAATAACATTTATAAGGATATGGTTGAAATAACCCATGTCTTAGTGATTTTTTTTATTTTTTATTTTTTTTTTCTGTCACTTATCTGGACAAGAAACTCACTTTGTATTTATGGGACTTGAATATTCAACCATCTACTTTAAAATGTGATGAAATATTACTAGAATATTCAAGACATTCATGGTCTTATATGGTCTGTAACTCTAAGAATAGTTTTCAATAATTCAAAATATTCAGAGTCTTACTTGATCTGCATTTGATTTGTTTTGATATGAATTTAAAGATTTATTAGATTAGATGTCGGCAATTAATTAATTTAATTAAAATAGACTTGTTCTTCAGAATTTGGAATGCCTTCCAACCGACTACCACCCAATTGACCACCTTTGATCCTTTATTTATTTTCCATTATTTTGGAGACATTTCATTCTGACACGACCTGAAAACTCATCCTAGCTAACCTCCATTTATGTAATGGGTCTATTTTAAATATATATATATTCTATTATTATATATGGTAATACCGCCCAATAATAACTTACTTACTCTTTTTATATTCAAAAGATCATTCGATTTCCATGATTTGTATTTTGTAAGCTTTTATATTTTATTTATTAACAATGTCTCTTCGTTTCTCTAGATGATAAGTTACCTAAATGCCTGTCTAGTCATATTGCATTTTTATATTTAATGTAACCCAACACAATATAATATGATTATAACCTTTAATAAAGTTGATGGATGGTTGAGAGAAGCAAACTGCAAAGCATATTAATTCTTCCAACATTATTGATTGGTGTGAAAAGGACGTTCCATTTAACCTTCCATGCACAATATGTTATGGAAGAAAATTTTCAATTCATGATGAAAAATGATTCGTAGTTCAGTGTCGGGCGTGGATGGTAGGCTCACATCTCACTCATAGTCTATTGATTAGTGTAGCATGATAGCAACTCTTTATCATAATTACTCTTTAGGAACCATGCTAAGCTTAGTCCTTAAACTTCAAGGAATTCACATTAGAATTTACAGAATTTGAGAATCGTGATTATGAAATGATTGAGGATGTACGATTATATGGAATTGAAGTTTTAGAATTGGGATTAGAACTGATGAAATTTGAGAAAAATAATTATAAAAATTATACCAAAATTTTTTCAAATTTCACAAATTCTAATTTCATGCAGCCGAACACACCTTGATCGATTTTCGAATTAAGTGGATTTTATAATCTAACCACTGAAAACGGTAAGCGTCATTTAAAATGAAATAAAATTATGTTAAGCTTAATCCTTACATATTGTGGAATTCAAAGTAGGATTACATATTCAAGAATTCTGATTGTGCAATTATGGTGTTGCAACTATACTCGGATGTTATTTGATACCTCAATTCAATATTCAATTTTGAACGGATTGAGCGCTTATCTAATTAAGTTGGTTTGATAATGTAATTTAAAATTTTCACTGAAAATGATAAATATCACTTAAAATGAGATAAAATTTTAAGATACATGGAGATCACTCATCTTAGAACACTAAAAAAATTTAAAAGATATTAAAAAAAAATTTAATTTGTATTTACCACTTAAAAACACCGACTCTTAAAAATTTTAAAACTCAATTTTCAATTTTTTTAAAACAGCACATTAATGTACTTAAAAAAATAATGTGTGCATGGAATTTTCAAGACAAACACATTCCTTAAGTACAAATAAAATCTGAAAAATCATGTACTTAAAAAAAAAAAAAAAAAAAAATTGTACAATTTTCGTATATATTTGTTTGTATGCATTTCACACCCACTACTACTGTTAGTACTTTAAATGTCGCATTTATTGCCAACACATTATGACATAATTATTTTTTTGGCCAACTTTATGACATTTATTGAGAGGGCACCACATCTTAATTAATTTTTTTTGAAAGAACACAAAAAGAAGGCTATATATGCCCACAAATCAAAATCAACTATTGTTTGACCGTCAAGCAAAACCCAAGTAGGTAGTGAATGGCCAAGGCCTTTGTATATTTAATTACCGTCGCTTCTGTGGTCTATGTAGGGCCCATTCTTACTAACTGCTCAGATTTGAATATTTGTTGAATTCAATTAGCACAACTAGTTGTAATATATATTAAATAATATTTGAGATCTCCATATACATTGTCAACTTTTAATAATCAATGGACCCGATTATTATTATTATTATTATTTTTTTATTTATTTGATCGGTTCTTTTTATAGAGATTTTTGTTAGAGTACTCAAAATGTAATCAAAGTATAATCGGTGGTATGAAATTGGAGTTTTAAAATTAAAATTGAAATTTTTAAAAAAATATTGGTTCAATTTTCTTAAATTTTTTTTTTAAAATTTTATCAATTTTAATTTCAAGATATCAATTCTGTGCAACCGAACTTTATAAATGTTATTAAAGGCAACAATGGGAAGATTCCATTTCTTGAAATGTTCAAATTGTTTTTAATCGAACCTTCATTTATTCAGTCCAAATCATTTAACATGTTTATTTTAAGAATTATACTTAGTTTATGATCATCGACTTTTTTTTTTCCTTTTTTTTTTTTTTTTGATAAGTTTATGATCTTCCAAAGACTAGAAGAATGACAAAGATGATTCCAAGAACTATAACATATAAAAAAAGATGCAACATTCACATCATGGTTGACCAACCAATTGGAAATTAGTGAAAAAATCAAATAATTTTTGTGAGGCTAAGATTATTTGTTGATTTTAGAAATAAAAATTGTGGCTTCCAATGATTTCGAGCTTTTTATTATTAATTGCTCCCATCTCTACGTATGTATGATTGATGAGTACCAACTTTTGATGGAAATGTAAAAAATATTATTTATATAATTACCATT